TGTTCATTTTGCAATGAATAGCAAGATCTGCAGAGTATGATGAGTTTGCTTGCTTGTATCGAGCAACTATTTTCTTAGCTCTTAGCATTTTTTAATCGAAACTCAATTGAATAGCGCTGACGTTCAAGCACAGACGTTAGCGCTATTCAATTTTCTTATCGTGCAAAATCACGACAACCTGCGAGCTACGATAGCCATTCTAATTTTGATTATACTTACTGCTGACTTCGTTTTGCGGGATTTCTGCATGACCTCGGTCGATATATAAGATTATCAATGATGTATGACTAACGTGTTGGTGGGTCAATTGCATATGATAAATCAAGAGCTTTGCCAAATGGAGACCTGTCTTCTTTAGATTTTGGAGAAAAAGTATCTCTTGCACTTTGCAAGATACCATTTGCAATCCTTATGTATTCTTCACCCACCAATTACTCCACATGAAAGAGGGCTAACCCTTGCTTATTTAAAGGAGACGGTGAAGAAAGATCTTCTTTCAACTGGCTCTCGTGTGATTTTTCGACTTTGGCAGTTCTTCGATAGTCTTATAGAGATTGCATCGAGTGGCCTAAGTGCTTCTTAGCAGTTCAGGGCCGTATTACCGGTCTTAAGCAGAGGGTAGCTCAGCTGAGTGAATCAGCGAAGATGACACAGCACCGCATTAACATACACATTTTACCTCCGACTGACTCATAAGGGCCGATCGCTATACGTCTCCGACGTTTGATCTATTGTAAAAACGAATGCATGCTGGGTGTCACGTAGAGTCGACGTACTACCACAACTGGGAGAGATCACAAGATTCAGCTGCGGGGGGTTAGTCACTTTAACCCAAAACATTGGCAAACCGACGGGTCTACTACTAGCATCTGTTAAAGCGAAGATTTTTTTGTAAGCTTGTAAAAGTTTGAGGTTCCTATTTGCCAAAATGTTCAGGAGCCGTCGCTGTTTCAAAATAGGAAAAATCTCGGTTATTTCTTCCGGGAGGAGAGTCGGGGTAGCTTGTCGCAGCACACTTACCATTAGCGAGTAAGAACGACTTGGGTGTGAGTTCAACACTTGGAGGTGGCTGTAAGAAATCTATCATGAAGACGATCAGGAATATGACGCCAAAAACCAAAGGTAAAGGTTTACACAACGATGTCCACGCCGTGCATTGTCCTTTTCAAAATTGAGCATCAGTCAACGGTCTTCTCGAACTTTATTTCACTGATGCTAAGTTGTAATTTCTGGAGGCGGGTGAAATAGTGTGTACATGGGTACGATAACAATCCGCATTTCCGCGAGCTTTCGGCATCCAAGGTTGAAGATTAAGATTTTTTCGATCGCTGCTGCTACAAGCGCAAGCGGCGCTTCTTATGTATTAAGACCTACGTGATTTTAAAGCGATTGTTGGGTGACTTTGTTGCTCGCGCTTTTGCTGGCTTCGGCACTTGGTGTTTAACACAAATCAATTCACCTACTCCACAGATCATACTCGCATCAAAAGTCCCCACTCATGCACCTAATCAATTGGCTTACCCAGTCTTAAAATAAAAATGCGGTTCTCGCTATAAAGCTTTAAATGCGAATCTCGGTGAGGTGGTCCGAGTCTTTTTCGTTAAGACGAATGCCAAACAAAGCCCTCCACCCTTCGCTGCGCCACTCTGCCTAGCCGAGTCCAAGGAGCATTAACAGCGCTCACCCACCGTCTGACTCAGTTATGAACCCCGTGTCTTTTTTTCAATGGAAAAAGTGTTGCGAAAAATAACCTTGGATCGATCAACGACATCCGATTTTACTCCAAAATCTGTGGCTGGATCAGAGGTATCATTCTGTCCTATCACAATTACAAGAGTCATGTTGACTGTGTTCAAAATGATAAAATCATAAAAACATTATCACGATTTCTGAAGTTGCTCTCTCCGCGCAATCGACGCCCACATCTGCCTATACGAGTGATCGTTCCACCCTCACCGATAGCTCGAAATATCCACTTTTGGATTCATGAAACTTAAAAAGACGCTGCGCAAAATGAACTTGACCTAGTTCGACGAGCCCGGTTTGCTTCTGTTGATATAGTCACAACCTAATAGGTACCGAACGACCAATTAAAGGTCATTGTGACATATGAGCTTGTCGACACTGAGACGGATAGACATCAGACTTGAGCGTTGCTTAATGCTTGATAATATGAAAAACTAACCCGGCATCGTCGTCGATGCGAAACACAATCTTATTCCCATCTCGTACGTTCAACTTCTTTTGTTGTCCTCGTTTCCCTACTGGTGCAATTCTTTTTTTGTAGAAAGCCCGACCTTACAAACATGTTGCAAGTCACCATCCTGTCTTTACACAGGTAAATCATGGCAATATGGCTGCTAAACTACATCGCAAAGACAATCCTGCTGAGCATGAAACTTTTGAAAGGTCTCGGAGCGATGTTTTACCAATTTCAAATTGCAGCGAAGATGAACCTACCTTTCCACTATCCGCAAAACTCGGAAGTATATAATCCAATTATTATTACTATACAGGGCTCGCGCCAAGCGATCCTCACGGAACTACAACTCATAAAATATTCCAAATAACGCGACGGGGCCAACTCTCTTCAAAAGACTCGGTGTGTTGTCTTTGCTGCGATCGATTTGGTCATGGATTCCATGGGCTGCACACCGAACCACTACTCAAGAGCCGGAAATGATTCTACAATTGAGTCTTCAATAGTACGCTTCATATTCCTAATGTGCAAGGAGAAGGGTTCTAAAAAATAGCACTTAGATTAGCGGAACCATTAGTCAGAACGTCGTATTTCGAGTTTTGGTATGCAACAAGGTTCGAAGGCTCTCGCAGCGGTCTTCAAGCGTCGAGCAACGCTGCTGCAGTGCCTCAATTTGCCCGCGAAGAGCACTCTTTCACTTCCAGTGTCGCTCAATCGTTTTCTCGTTCAGCCCCACCCCCGCTATTAGACTTTAGAAGAGATCGTCGCTGGGTGGTTGAGACATTTGTCGATCTCGATAATCGATCGACTCGTCATCATGGAAAGAAGCAGCTGAACCATCAATGATTCTACAGAGACCCGTGGCGCGGCTATCATTCGGAGTCGGTCACGTAGGAACCTCGTCAGGCCTTTGAGTCTGATGTCTCCGAAGCTGTCCACGGCTACGAGAATCGCTTGAAGTGTTTTCTCTAGCAACATTACGAAGCTCAAAGCTTGATTGTGCTCGGTCGTTTCTGAGAGTCCTGCCAGCGCCGACCCGGCGAAGCAGACGTTCCATTTTGTTCTCGTTCTCAAGGCGATCAAATGTCCTCCAGGAGTCAGACTTAGCTGCGATGAGCTGGGTCGGATCATCACGGTTGATGAGCTGGGCTTTCATGTTGGCTTGTTTACTTTATCGCTCTTTGTTGATTGAAAAGTGAGCTGCTCTAAGAGGTCTACAATAGTATCAAAGAGCTTTAAACTTTTAGGAGGGTATGATGTAATAGGCTACACTTAGCCATTACATGAAAAAGGTACATAGTACCTTTTTGTTGGTGTAGTGGGAATTAATATAAGAAGATTGCAGTATGGTGTCCCCAAATGCATACGTGATTTCTTATCTGAGGTCACAAACATTCTTCGTAAGGCAAAATGCTGGTTGCTACTTGGTGATCTGTTTTGGTGACGAGGCCGTCATGTCTCTGTCTTTTAGAAGTGGGTGGCGTAATTAGTCACATCTACTGGATACTTTCCACAAAAGTTGAAGCTCAAGCATTCGAAGTAGGTGGCGTAAGTCAGTCCCTTCTACTTAAAAAATTCCACGATAGTTGAAGCTTAAGATTTCGGAGACTTCTACTGGATACCTTCCACGAAAGTTGAAGTTTAAGCTTTCGAGGTTCTTGCTCCGTACAACCAAGATCTTTGATGAGTTGAAGCAAAGATTTAATCTCAGTACACCCTAGATTTATATATCACGATCCCGATGTTTTATAAGTAAAATCTTTAGAAGCCGTTGGGGTGTTCTGCATGTAGCTAGGAGTCATTACTCATTTTTTTAGTTGCAAATTAACCTTTAAGGTATTAACTCGTTCTTCTTCCCTCCAGGTGGGAACTGTCCTCCTCCCTCCACATCAGGGTTTGCTTCCTCGTCGCACAAGCGTGTGTGTTGTGATTTAGGGACTGTTTCAGGACGGTCCAATTACACCTAGTAGCACTTAGAGCGGTCTTTCCAACGACACTTGATTCGAATTTGACGTCGCGCATTCCAGTCCAAGCCATACACTTGTCCTCGTCCGAGTAACATAGAAGAAGGTAGGGTACCACTCGGGTTCATCAGTCCCGCATACTGAGGCGTTGACAAATTAAAATTTTTCTCATCTGTCTTCACATTGGTGCATGGCACTCGAGCGGATGCGAAATTATTAGCAGCAGTAGTCAGTTTAATTTAGTCGTATTCTCCAGATGACCAGAAGATGCAGCCATCAACTTCATGCATCATGAGATTATGGAATCTCAAAAGCAGGTTGCAATTACCGTTTCTTCGTACAGAATATTGGCTCTGAAACTTAATGTGTCTTCGTACTGTAATGGAGAGAACTAGACTCTCTCACGATGGCTTGTCGAGTTGGATGCAACAATCAGTGTACGACAACCTCCAGACCCCTTGTAGCAAGTGTTATTCGCGATGTTCAACTTTGCGTGTCGTGCGAAGTGTTTAGCCTATCTAAACTGCTTTCTCTGCTACGAACACTTCAAAGTCGAGCTAAATAAGGCGTTTGTACCACTTCAGAGTTAGTTCCGTGCTCGGGCTTAGGTGATGGCCTAATCCGAAATCAATTATTTTGTGAGTATCCCACGACGCTAGATGATGCCATCAACCGTGCGAAACGAGAAGAGTCCAGCATTTAGCAAGCCAAGTTCAATGGCTTCGCGCCGAGTCAAGCGTGCCTAGCAACGATGGAAAGCGTTTTTGTTGTGGAAGGCCGGATCAAACTGCCCGGAACTGCAGAATGCCTTTGCCAAATTGGCATCGGACGCAGCTTGTTTGGATAACCGCGAACGCTATAAAGTTCGTCGGTTCAAAAGTTATCAAGGGTAAAAAACGGAACAACCAGTGGGGCGGGGCTATCTACTGGGTCCAAGAAGAGTAGTGTGGATGCTGTGGATATACAGAGCTCTGGCCTTAACGCGCATTATGCATGTGTATTTTCCACTATTAGTGATAACTTTGATTGTCGAAGAAGTCTTTGTAGATGGTTGTAAGAAGCCACTACGAGCTTTGATTGACACTGGTGCGTTGAACAACTTGGTTCGAGCGCGAGTCATGACTAAGCATTGTATAAGTCTGCCTGATGTTAAAGAAGGGATGATCATTCGATTAGCGAATGGATCTAGATTGAAGATTCCAGAGCAAGTCATTCGCTTGGCAGTGAGGTTTGAATATATTTGAGGTGAAGACGAGCTTATTTTACTCGACCTCAATGATAAGTTTGATATCATCATAGGTATACCATGGTTAAGGCGTTTTCAGCCTAGCATTGACTGATGAAATATGAAGATCATCGTCAACAAGTCATGTAGCGCTGATTCGAGCTGCATGACGACGAACGAAATTGTATGGGCGTTTGCATCTGTTGGAGAGGTCACAGATGCCCCAGGTGATAGTGTTGGGTGCGATGGCCCCCATGTTCAAGGGATATGCCTAAGTAGTGGAGGTGAAGCAGTCAGGCGCCAGAAAAATTCTGTTTCCTCTGCCATCAACATGGAGGCCATGGTCAATATTGTATGAAGAATCGCATGATCAGAGACAAAGACCCATTCTGAGAGAAGGATAAGATGACCACCAAGAAGACTTTTCCGTCAAGTACTTTGTGTGCCCCTGATCAAGGAACAAGTTATAGTCAGGAAGGAAGTGCTCTAGAACAATACACTTGAGCGAGCTTGTAACTGTTGTGGTCTAGAAGACGTCGATGTTATCCGTCGTGCAAAGATAAAAAATCCTCTAAGTTCAGTTGATGAACAAGAGATGCTGAAGCGTATCCTGTCGAAAGGCAAAATTTTGTAAATATGTGCGTTCATCAAAGAAACTATCGACGATGACATTAATACTGCAGAAGCATTGAAGGAAAAGACACGGGAGGAGGGGTCTGATGAGCAGTCGTGTAACGCAATAAGGACAAATTCCAAATATGAACTTGTCAATGAATATGCTGCTGTATTCCCAGACAAGGAATCTCCATCTGACAGAGGCTTTCGACATGAGATTAACATACTTCCTGGTATGATGTACTGTGGCACACGGCAGTGGCCTCCGACACTCTGACGAGCATCTTGCCAAGGTCGCCTGGAGCACTTTGTGCCCCGACTGCCTCACGTTGAGGATTATCGCTCTGCCGAAGCAACTCCGTGCCATTAAGCTGACGAATACGTCTATTCGAGCGACGGTGGAGCGCCTTGAGCCGTTGGAGTTGGATATTGTTGCACTCCGTGCTAAGAACCAGCAGATGGAACAGCTTCTGGGTGGTCGAGTGTCTTTGGGCGCCGCCCCGGCGCCAACACTTCCATGTTCATTTGCGTCAAATCCCGGTACGGCTTAAGCAACCCCACATAGAACACCAAGTGGGTACGCATCCTCCCCGGAAGATTCCTCGTATACGCAAGGCCTCGCTTGGGCATGACCTTAAAAAGGTCCAGTAAACCGTGAATGGAGCTTTGTATTAAAGACAGCAGAGACTGCATGTGAAGGAACGGTTTTGGTATTTATAAAACCAGGTCTTCGACCTCGATGTTTCCAGCATTTCTTCTTCCTTTTCCGTCTGCATTTCCTTTTTAATGTGCATCGTAAAGTGTCGTAAGACACTCAGTCTGGTAGACAGGAAGGTATCGAATTCGTTACAGACAGTGAGGTGTCTGACATGCGCGCAAACGCGCCGACTGCTTTTTGTCCAAGTTCCCGATTTCCTTGCTCCCGAGAGTCTGTAGCTGCGCTTCACATACCATCAACCACATATCCGGCGCGGATCAAATCCGTTACCGACGACGTCACCGTTGTGGCATGAGCGAGCTCATTATCTGGTTCTGTGTAACAAATCATCAGCCAAAGCACTATGCTTTTCTGGCTTATACCTCACTTCGAAGCTATATTCTGCAAAGGAGGAGAGCCAACTGGACATGCTGACGATATTCGAACGCAATCATTCAATCATGCCCCTCGGCGTCTGCTTGCAGCAGTGCACAGCCGATGGCAAAGTCCGTCACAGACGACACTGAAAAGACGCGTCGAGTCTAGCAACGCCACTATTGGTGCATGAAGGAGGCTGTCTTTGACCCCGTCGAAAGCCTCCCGATGCTCGGTCTCCAAAAACAATTAACTGTCTTTTCTAAAAAGATGAGATAACAGCCGTGCCAATTCCGCAAAATTTGCGCTATACTTGTGTAGGTAGTTGGCGAGACCAGGCCACTTGCGCAAATCGTTTTGATTCTCTGAAATCGGCCTGATCACAATGGCCTTGAACTTAGCGGGATCCGCTCGAAGGCCACGCTTCCCATTGAAGCACTCTAAAAAAGGAATTTTTTCAGCGCCGAAGATGCACTTATCGGACAGCATACAGCTTATTCGTGCGATAAATCGAGCTGTGGTTTTCCTCATCAGTCGTCCCGTGTTCCGCAAGACTGTTGACAAAGATATCTACGAAGTATGTCTGTGCATACGCCCAGTGGGGCCTATAAATTGCGCCGTAAGACGATCAAATCTTGCTGGTGCATTTTACAGCCCTTGGGGCATCACCAGCTACTCCCAGAGTATCCCGCTTGGAGTACTTACCGCTTTCAGCGAAATATCACTCGCCCTCATGAGCATTAGTAAACACCGTCGATCAAGACGAGTGCGCTGTACTTTGTACAGCTAACTATATTGTTCTGGAGAACATCCTTCCAAGAAATCGGCGTCAGTGCCGGAATGGTGGCAGCGATTAGATTATTGTAAGCGTGAACGATACGCCACTTCCCGTTCGGCTTCCGGGCACAAAATGTGGCTGTCAAATGGAGAGACTTGCTTTCAGACACGATTTCTGCCTCGTGCTTCGGTGCTTCGCACGGAAAAAAGGCGTCAATGACGTCACACTGCCATACGGGACAGGGTCATTGGCGCATAGCGCAGATTTTGGTCCCGGAACCAGGTTGATCTCATGACGCACACATCGGTCCAGAGTTAAGACCGACGGCGAGTATTTGGAGACGACGTCTTGCATTTTATTCACCGAAGGATAATACAGATTCGAAGCATCCTTCAGAATCGACGTACACTTTGTTCGTTGGGTACCTACTTAGTGTCCTCCAAGACAGCTTCATCCAGAAACGACGACAAATAAATCCCCTCGTCTGGTTGTATAATGACCACCTCGGCTAAATTGCATGTCATTAAGGCTCCGCCAAACTCTCAAAGAAACATCTCGTCTAGCTAAAGAACAGCATCCACAGCGGGAATACCTTCGAGGGTGACGTCGCCGTCTACCTCTCCCGTCATACCGTTAACCAGTGTATAATATAGCTGTGTACTACCGTCTATGAGAGACACACCCTGGGTCATGGTCGACGCACTGCATCTTGCAGATATCATACGGCATCCCCTTCCTCTCTCTATAGTGGTTTTACGTGTCGTCGAGACCTGTGGAACCCGCACTCAGCATCAACCTGTGTTCTCCTCTCTCTGCTCCATCGGAGCCTTGATGTTATAAACAACATCCAACGAAGAGCTGCTGCTTCCGCCGTCTTTGTCTAGCGGAAAACGGCCCACTGTAGCGTATCAGAAGAGCCTCTAGCACCACTGAGGTACCAAGACAGTTTTCGTGCCAGGCTTGGGTTCGAAGGCATTTTTTTATCACATACAACAAGACTGTGCTCGGTAGTTCTGTTTGGAAAACAAAATTACAGCGTTTCCACAGCGCATCATTTCCCGGGTATCCTCTTGCGGTTCGTATCCTTGGTGCATGTATTGGGCAGGGTTCTTCATGTGGACCGGTCACAATTCCGCGTAACCAACATCTCATTAATGCATGCCCTCCAGACAATTTTTATCAAGATGAACTTTGTGTGATTGTTGTCGCAATTGTGACCATGTTGTTGTCGATGGAAATTGAAGATCTCACCACTTTGGCTCTGACGAGGACAACATCGGTTGACTGTAAGACGAGTGGGTCAAGAGTTGGGCAACTCAAAGGTAATTGGCGGATCATTGCACATCGATGCACGCGATTCCAGCTTGATCGCTTTCCAGTCAATCTGGACTTTGCTCACGTATCCAAATTATATCGAGGATGACATCCTTGTCCTATGGAATAGGCATCATTGGATCAATTCGATGTCATGACCGAGACCCAAGAAACTTGAAGAGTTGCGACGAGGGCAGTGAAGCGTAACATCAATGTGTTCTAAGTGTCTTTATGGACTTATAGGCTCATTGACTGAGACATCACTTCAAAAATGCCGTTCAAAATACAACCATTGTCCATGAAAATCGACACATTTCTTGTCTTTCTGCACAGCAGTATGCTAAAGCTTCAACTTCACGAATCGCAAAGAACGCCCACTGATAAAGTTGCTTTGACCCGGGAACTTTGGGACAATCAAGAACAATGTAGCCATTATAATCGGAAAGTAGCTGGTGGCTTGCTTGCATAAAATGTCGCAAGAATTCTTCTTCTGGTCCGTGCAGTTATTGCGCGAGTGATGTGCAAATACGAAGTTTTTTGCTATCACAATTGTGTCATTCGAAGTCTATGGGTTTCCAAGTTGATTTTGGCAGATGGCTTAGCCAGAAAACCATGATGAGTGCAAAATTGCTGCTTCATATGGAAGATTGTCGAAATGCTTGCAAATGTTTTCCTGGAAAATTGCTTACAAATGCTATCCTGGAAATTTAAGATGCATTCTTCGCTCGATTTCGATTAAAATGCGCATGAACTCATTTAAATCGAAATTGGGCAGCATGTAACGTAATTTCAGCTTATCCTTTAAGCGTTATCACGTCAAGTTTGTTTGCAGTATCGCAACATAAGTCGTGCGCATCCTGTTTTGAACAAGCTTTTCCAAGTTGCTCGAGAATTGCTTGAAAAACCCCGATGAATTCGATGCTATTTCCGCTAGTTGCAGAACGCCGTGTTGAAATTCTTTAGCTTCTCATCTAAGAGCTTCTGATGTGTTAAACATTGATGATCATATTCAATTTAATATCTCGGTTCGAGATTTCCCACGATGCCGTCAGCAAACTCTATCATACATTTACACACAAATGGGAACCGTTTGACACTTGTCCAGTCTTCACAACAATCCAGTTCTGATGCCTTGTCGCAACTAAGTGTTATCCTTAAACTGCAGCAGGTAAATTTTTACCGCCACGACTCGTAATTCTTGGACCACCAGCTTGTGGAATAGGATTTGAGTGTGAACTTCTTATGGAGTTATTGGTAGTCGTGCACCTCTCAAACGAGAAATATCTGCGTCAAGCCATTCAAGACAAGACAACAGTTGATCTATTAACTCATCTATATTTTAAATCTGATTGGTAGCCATCCTCAAGAGTAAAAAAATACTCTATTTAGATGAATGTAATGTAATTTTTCACCAATTATAAAAATTATGTGTTATGTACAAAAAAATTAATACTGCAGCAAGCAGTGTTTCAAATCAAGTCTGATTGCAGGCTAGGTTTTCTGTAGCAAAATACACTATCTATCGCATGCCGAAAAGTTTCAAATCGGCAAGCATCCTCTTTGCGATGGCATCTTTTTTTCGAGTCTGAATTTCCTGCCAATACTAATTTTAGCAGATAAAATGAGCTTATAAATGTATGTACCCATTCCTTTGCATTCAGTGACTCCTCAATTTAACTGACATCTTAATGTGATATATGAATGATAATAGTAGACCTTAGATCTTAAATAACATACACGAGATAATTCATCATTAGTCTACAGCGCTCCACACAGCAGCATTCATCATTTAATGACGACAGACGAGTATAACAAAGGTCTTTCAAAGAATACTATAATTCTCCAAGCCTTAAATTAAATTCGTTTGAAATGTGATGTGAAAACACCATAATGACACACTGGTTTCCGTGTGATTTCACATTACTTTTGATTGGGTGTCAGTAAGAAATTCGTGAAGGGCTGAGGAAGGACTTTCGCGATGCGGCGATTTCGGCGCAAGGAATTACAAGAGCATAAACTCCGTATACCAATTGCGATACAGCTAGGGGAAAGCAAAGTGCCGATACAACCTTTATTTTCTTATAACAAAAGCACATCAATCTATTTTGCAACTGCACTCATTCTCTTATCTGTCTCAAAGACTGCTTTATTTCTCAGACGTCAAATAATTGGCATGTGGCATCATATTACCTCTGAATCAATATCTGTGAGCGGTAAAATGGCATGCATGTTTTTGATCGATTAGAAAGACACGAAGATACACTATACACATGAGTTGAGCCCTAACCGACACTTTGCAGAGATACAGGAAGCATTTTCTTCAGTATGTCCGGTTATTGTCGACTATTTTACTTAAAGAGAACGATGGAACGGAAATTCGGGCTCACGCCGCCTTACTTGGAGATATCCAAAAGTAAGACCACAGGGCTGGATAGTGCGGCTTGTTTCCACAAATTATACGTGTAGATGGAAAAATAATCTTTGTCGAAACAAGATTACAAAAGTCAGTAGTCGTTTGTAATGGTAGACTTGATAAAGTACCATAATCATTCTTCCTTTGGTGATCGTTATAATAAATGCCAGCACGGAAACCAAGAGGCTGGGAGTGAACTGCAAAATAATTCCGCCTTTTCTACCCTCGTGGAACTGATCGCCCCAAAAAATTCAGATGACTAATGTCGATTTTGTTATAGTGCGGGTATTCCTAGCCGCAATAACTGCTGTAGCTCCCCACGAGGCGATTTGGATTCAATTGGAACTTGTTTGACTGCGCAAAATTTGTCTCCGCAGATGTTGCATTTGGCCATACTATGAATATGCGTCCTGAGTACCTTCTTCCCTCTCGGCTGAGATGCATAGGGGTTCATTTTCTCTCAGATTCGTCCAGCGAATCCCTGATGAGAAAACATCAAACCTTGCTGGCACAGTGCTGTCTACTGATATATAAATAGGTCAAATTGCTCCTCATTGAGAAGTTCGAACGTTGTAAAGAAAGTCAGGCTCACAGGTTGGTTTTAATTTGGTGTCATCATCAACGCCTCAACCTTTCTAAAGATCTGATAAGCTCTGATGGATTTAGGTGCGTCGGGCAATTACGCACGACTCGCGGCTAGACATACTAAAGATTTTAAATACGGTTTTGATATTATTGCATCTTGCAACACGGGCACTAGTGAGAGTGATGATCCTTTTTATGAAGTACAGCGTAACTACGCAGAAATAGCCCGGCCATTATCCAATCTCCTTAAAAAGGATGTGGAATGATGTTGGAACACCGAGCATCAGGAGGCTTTTGACGGGGTCAAAGACAGCCTCCTGCATGCATCAATACTGGCACTTCTAGGCCCTAATCGTTCTTTCAGCGTCGTCTATGGCGCTTCGAACGTTGCCATCGGCTGTGCACTGCTGCAAGCAGACGCCGAGGGGCGAGATCGGGTGATACCGTTCGAATCTCGACAGATCAAAGCTGCAGAGAAGAACTATCCAGTTCATGACAAGGAGTTACTTGCGATGAAGTATGCATTTGTCAAGTTCAGGGCCCATCTGCTCGACTCCAAGCCGTTTGTGTTCTGTACAGATCATGCGTCACTCCGCACTGTGACTCAGTCGCCCCACGTCTCGCTGAGGGTGGCTAGATAACTACCCTTCTTTGCGGAATATAACTTCGAGGTGAAGTATAAGCCGGGAAAGTAGAATACTTTGGATGATGCGTTGTCACGCAGACCAGACTATGAGCTTGCTAATGTTTCAGCTGTAACGTCGTCTGTGACGGATTTGATCCGCACCGTGTATGCGGGTGATGGGATGTGTGTAGCGTTGCTACGGGCTCTAGGGAGCAAGAGGTTTGGAAGCTCGGACAAGAAAAAGTCATCACGAATGCGTGCACGATTGCACCAATATTCGTTAGATAATGGGTGCTATAATATACGATTCAACGGATGCACCACGAATTGTGGTTCCTCATGGTGAGGATTTGAAATACCGCATCCTCTATGAGGCTCACGACACGCCACTCAGTGGTCATTTCGGTCGTGAGAAGGCGTACATCTCTGTGAGTCACCACTATTGGGGGGCCAAGTTGTACAAATTGACGAGGACTTATGTGTGCACGTGAGAGACGTGTCAACGGGTAAAACCTTCCCCAAATATTTCTGCGCCGCTGGCCATCTTACTGGTACTTACTGGGTGCCGGCAGTCCATGGGTTTGGACTTTCTGTTTAGTCTGCCGAAAGATTCGGCGGGCAACACGGGTGTAGTGGTTTTCGTAGACCGGTTGAGCACGATGGCTCATTTGGCGGCGGTTCCAGACACCATCGACGGAGTCGGTCCAGCAACGCTTTTTGTAGATCGTGTTTTTAGATAATACAGACTCCCAGAGTCCATTGTCTCTGATTGATACCCCCGTTTCACGTGAAATTTAGGTCGACTATTTTCAAGGTGCTAGGCAGCAAGTTGGAGATGTCGACAACGGATAATTCGCAGACCGATGGTCAAACCGAAAGGACGAATCGCGTCATCAAAGACGTTCTTCGCAGCGTTTGCGCTGAGACGCTGAGGCACTAGAGCGCCATCTTGCCACTCGTTGATTTTGCGCTTAACAATGCAGTACATTCGTCTACCGGCTACACGCCGTTTTACGTGAACGGGCTGATTCATTCTCGCGTCCTGCTGACGCCGTCATCCTATGGCTCAAGGCTTGGTGGGAGAGGGATAGCCGAAAAGCTAGCTGATGTCAGCCCCCACACCATCCGTAAAGAAGTCGATGACTTCTTGTCTACCAGACTGAGTGTCCTACGACAC